CATCCTATTTCTTAGTTAATACATTTTATTTTTATAAACAGTTAACATGTCCAATTTTTATTGAAATATTATTAATATAAGATTTACAGGTGAGCACCACAGTCCAAAGTGTCAGTGGGTCTCCTGGCAATGTAGAGTGATTGGCATCTGAAGATTGACGTAGGAACATAGCTACGTAGGAACACAGAGAGTGATTTTTAATGACAAAACCGTAGCGACCAAACTTTGGCCAGACATTTTATTGCTTTCTGAAACATCTAAGAAGGTGGTCATACTAGAACTAATGGTTCTCTGGCAAGACTGGATGGAGGAGGCCAGTGAAAGGTAAAGAGCAAAGTATGAAGACCTGGTTAATCAGTGCCATGGGAAGGCGTGCAGAGCACCGGGTGACCCTGTTGAGATGGGCTGCAGAGGATGCATATGGCTATGTATCAAGAGGAGTGATCTGTGGGTGACAATGCCACCTGGACACAAGCCAGGGCTTCATCAACCTTGGCTGGGTCGCCTGGACAAGGGTGCCTGATGTTGAAAGACCTGAAACACCCAGTGACCCAAGGTAACATCACTGATGATGTTTCAAGGTGCATCAGAGAATGTGTTTTAAAAGTAGTGTATGTTAGACACTAGGCACTTATGGATTCACTGTGCCACCTGGCAGTTTTACACAGTAGTGCAGTCCTGCGGCAGGTTATTTGAAAAAATAAAAACGTGTTGAGTTCTACTTTTCGATGTACCTTGCCATGTTCTTTGCTGTACACTGCAAAACACTTCTGGAGTTCACTTCAGCATTTGGAGTGGCTGCATCTGTGTTATCTTGTTTTGGGATTAACCACAAAAACAGTGAGTGAAAAAGAATGCTTTATTAAGGCATAAAAATACAAAAGGTACAGGTGACATGAAAACATATTTTCTTGTCACAAAATAAATTACAATGATAAATAAGAATAAAATAATTGAAATTTCATGTGTTAGATCACAAAGTATTAAATATTAGAACAAAACAAACCAAAGCTCTTCCAAATGTGGTATGTGGTATAAAATATGTGGTACATAAGTAGAGAAATTCACAGAATTACAAATAATGTCTCGATGGACTCTTCATAAATCAAAAAGCATGCAAGAGAACAAAAACTGAAAACACTGAAATGTAACCAAAAGCAGATGTATAACTGGGCAGACAAACATTAAAATCCTGTATTGCTGTTTTGTTTAATGGGTAATTCAAAAATTACTTACTATAGTGCAGTGGTTCTCAAACTGTGGTACGCGTACCAGGAGTGGTACGCGGAGTGCCCCCAGCTGGTACGCCATATGACCCTGGAACTTTGTTGTGTGTGCTGAAAAATCGGAACGGGTTTTCATATTTTCTATTTTAAGACTTGTCGAATACGCAGCCTACGTACTACAATACAGCGCATGCTAATACTTGAGTGGACACAGAGCTACAATGTAATTCTATACCACTCTATAGGAATGCATGTTACGAACTAAGTGACCAATTGTATTTAAAAAAAAAGTTATCTCCAGTAAATAGAGAGGTAGGAGAATTAACGTGATTTTGGAACAATGCCAATGTTGTAAACACAGGAATGCATAGAAATGTGTGCTAGGAACGCTGGTAATCTTGTGAGCACAGGAAAGCGTGATAGATAACAGAAAAATATTTAAGAACTGTTCTAGGTTAATTTGAGAAAAATACACCAAGCGTCTCTGTGTTTCGCTCCCATGCACATGAAATAAAAACTTCTTTTAACTTCTGAAACGGAAAAGGGGAAAAATGCAAGCTTGCGGATTGCTAAAGCAGGTAAGCCCCACACTATCTTTGAAGAACCTTATTTAGCGTTGGCAAAAGAGCTGACACATATTATGTGTGGAGAAAAGGCTGCTAAACAGCTCAACCTGCTGCCCCCTTGGAAAGACACAGTCACTCATAGAATTATTGAAATGAACAATAATTTGCTCGTTTATGTTAGATACGAGTTTGAGGGTACGTCCCATGAGGACTTTCTGTTCTGTAAACAGGAGAGCACATATTTCAGCTTTTGAATGAATTTATCAAAGAGAATGGCATCGACTGGATAAAATGTGTCGGAGTTTGTACAGACGGTGCTAGAGCAATGACAAGCTGACACAGCGGTGTAGTTGCACGAATTAGAGAGGTTGCTGCAGAAATGAATCGGTACATTGCAACATCCACTGCGAAACCTTTGCCGTCAAGAAAATGCCTGAGGATTTAAAATCTGTTAAAGACTCTTTTGTGAATTGTATCAAGGCTCAAAAAATGAATTCACATCTGCTTTGCTCAACTAAACAGGCTCACCCCTCTCACTGAAATGGTGCTTTTTTATTGTTTATTTTTATTTGTTGTTGCTCCTGTTTTTTTCTGTAAAGGGCTTTGAGAAGCCACCTTTAAAGGCGCTATATGAAATCAAGATTATTATTATAATATGTATTATATGTGTGTGTGTGTGAGTTTGTGCGCACATGCGCGCTCATGTTGTTCATTGAGAATTTCTGGGGTTCCTAGGGTTCTTGTAGGTTGTACTTGGATGCTTTGGTTTGATCAGGGGTGGTACTTGGTCCAAAAAGTTTGAGAACCACTGCTATAGTGTAACCAATGCCTTGGTACACATACACTTGTGAACAAGAGACCAATACATATAATCAAAGTTGATAATACAAATGTGTAATTAAAATGGAGGACATGATGCAAATAAATTATATTTTAGCAAACCAGGCAATTGTTTCTGTAGTTACAGATGTGTGGCTGTTACACATGTCCAGTTAAACAAGATTTGTACCATTTCTCCTCCTTATGTTCAGCTGTATTATACTGTGGGTTTGCAGTGCAAAGAAGACAATGAAGATAACAGCACATGTCAAAATAGTTTAGCTGTTTGCATCGGTGGGCAAACTTCAATGGGATGCATAACACAGGAAAAAAAAACAGAAGCAAAAACATCTGTTACATTTCAGAATATCAACAAAAGAATAAGAAGTATTTCTGAAAATTTATGTTTTATTACAAAATGTAAATATTTATATATTGAGGCTTAGTTATGAAAAGCAATTTTTCATTTGTCTGCCCTTAGAAAAAGCAACACAAATTCTAAAAAACTAAACCTATATGTTAACTAAGTTTATATTTGTAACAGATTCATAGAGAAATTATGTTTTTGTAACTCAACAGATTACAGAGAAATAGTTTTAAAAACAGTACATATCAACAGACTTGAAATATTAGTGTTATACTTGGCTTCATACAGTACACTCAACATTTTAAAATGTCATGTTTTAAAACAAGAACATCTACACAGTACAATACAGGAATGACCAACAATCCCAGAGAGCCACAATCCAGTAGATTTTAGAGATAAGATTTAATTTGTAAATTTCTAAATTGACCAATTAACCCACTTAAGATATTTTCTTCTATTCCATAGTTACACAATTTCAAATAAAGATATCATAACTGTGTAGCTCTTAAGGACTTCAAATGGCCATGCCTGACATAAGTGAAAGTATTAATTTCATAAACTAGAAATCATTACTAAAAAGCAATGTTCTTTTTAAAGCCTTAAGCTTTGTTGTAATTTTCAGGTGGTAAAAAATTAGTTTTATACAAAAATTCACTGACTTATAAACAGAGTATCATATAACATTTTGCTTTTAGCTGTAAAATGTTATATTTAAAATGTATTCACTTATTTATTTGTAAGTGAATTTGTAAGGGAAACAGCACGTCATAAATATACATATACACACATAACACTATGCAGAAAAACTACACAATTACTACCAGAGCTTTTAATTACAAACAGTATCCTCCAAATATATTCATAGCCTCGAGAAAATAGGAACAAAAATATTACGTGACAGAATAAGGTATGGATTGGACTTAAAAAATGTTACAATTGTTATACTGTAATTGTAACAGCATTGTAAAAAGTCTCCTTGACATAACTGAATGCCAGAAAACATTAGAGTCACATTTATTAGCAGATGCAAGTATTGCTTTAAATAAAATTCAATAAATGCAAGTCTACAATAATATTTCTGCTCTTTGGAAGTGCAATGGAAGCTTTTGGAAAGATACAGAAATTGGAACATGGAAGTTTTCTCGTTCCAAGCTGGAAACACATGGTAGACATTCAGTAGCAGCATGCTTGGTTTATGCTAGAAATGTAAGACCGCAAACAACGTGATCTTCACAAGCAGAGTATAAATGAATCGACCATTATTCATTATTGTACTTAACCATCCACTTCTTAACTGCTTTATCCAAAACAGAATCACGCGGGAACTGGAGCCTATCCCAGCAAGCAACAATCATAAGGCAGGATACACCTTGGATGGGACATCAGTCCATAGCAGTGCACAGAGACAAACATGCATACACTCACACTAGGGCCAATTTTCCCAGAAGCCCATTAACCTATCAGCATGTTTTGGGACTATGAAATGAAACCAGAACATCCTGAGAAAAACCATGCAAACACAAGGAGAACATGCAAACTCCACACAGTTAGTACCCCAGAAATTGAATCCAAGGTCCCAGCACTGAGAGTCTAACCACTGTGCCGCCATGCCACCACATATAGTACCCATTATTAGGACTTTTAAGGCTACTATTAGAGTGGCAACCCTTCCGGAAAGTGCATGCAAGTGTACCTTGCTACCAAAGGCTCTGGGACAAACAGATCAGGAAGCCTGTGCTGAAGATCTGCAACATGAACAGATATCTTCTATTTATTGTCTCTAATATAGAAACTGTGGTTGGGTAGCAAGCCTCAACCGAAAGGAAACCATAAATAAAAGCAACAAATTTGCCAATATAAATTTGAATCACGATTGGGGTCATTATGGGGTCTCTAATTTTAAGTTGTTGTTTGCAACTATGGGTCCTGGAGCCCTTTTAAGAATGGGAAAATCATGAACTTCGACATTCTGGATATCCTGGTCAAATACCTGGTTCCTTCTGTCATAAAGTTCAAGTTTGGGAAGAACTGGACATTCCAGCATGACAATATTCCAAAGCATACATCTAAACCAACAAAGAAATGGTTAACGGCCCACAAAATAAATGTTCTCTACAAGCCATTTCATCCAAGGGTCTTAAAACAATTGAACACTTGTGGTTAACACTCAAGGAGGCAGCTCAGATAAAGTAACCAAAGGGTCTGAAGGACTGTAAAAAGTTGGTCTTTAAATCTTCTTCTTTTGACCTAAGAGTCTTATATTTAAGGAACCCCCTAAGTAGACCCCAAATTAAAATGTTTCCAAATTCTACTCTAATGAAGGTAGATACTTCCTTCTTTTTTAGAACGGACTTTTGATCCCATGTTCCTATAAATCTCTTTTCCATTAGCTTCCTTTCTCTTTATATACATTATATACGTGTCTTTTAAGCAGTGCTCTCACACAGCTGGAGTCTTCCATCAAACTCCCCTAACCTCAGCCAACCATCCCTTTTTAAATTCCTAGTAAATAGGGGTCTGTTATGTAAGGCTAGAATTCCCACATGAGTTACTCACATACAAAAATGTGCCAATCAGCCCATCTATAATTTTCTTGATTTGCTCATTGGGGATTGAATACATCAGGGGAAGTGGGTAACTGAATTAATTATTCTTTAACTGGATACATTTAAAAGTATAAAGACAGCTGGACTCTGCCCATCCAAGGCTGGAGTGTAGCACCAATGTCATAATGCATGGATGGCAGTCCCATAAATTTTATCATTTATCTATCTACTTTATTTGTTTTCAAAGAATGTGGTTTTGTATAATACTACAATTCAGATATCCTTTACATGAAAGGATATCTGAATGTTATAAAAATCTGGTGAGACAGATCAACACATCTTAGCTAACACATCAGTATGTGCTTACTTATAGGTGTAAAATACTACATAACAAAAACTTAAGTACTACATGTCATTAGGCAACTCTGAATATAAGAAAAGAAATAATCCAATACTAATCAAAGTTCAGAAGAAACATTCTACCTTGTTGCAGAATGTCACCACAGTCTCATATCTAATTTTACCTTTATGCGAGAGATCACACATTTAATGCTTTTTAAGTTTATGTAGTATACCATATTTTTTAAAGATTTACATTTGATTTTTGCTCATGTTTTTAAAGTTGATTTACAAATATAAACATTTTAATTACACAGCAATCTCAAAACAATAGCTATCTCTGTAATGTCACCTTTATTTTAAACATGTACTTTAACAATATTCGACAATACTTTTGGGACTGTTTATTATTTCAAAATTGTGCAATACAAAGAATATTGTTAAAATAATTTGCAATGGCAACTTGAAAATAAGCAGAAGCAAATTTATTTTTTAGTAGGATTCTGAATTGCATTCCAGTCCCTGGTAGCCTCAGTTAAATGTCTCTGTCCATGAGATAACCATTCTTCTTGATTATAAAACATTCTTGCACAAAACCAACACTTAAAGATTCTTGCTGGAGAAACTTCAGGGACAAATCCCACAACTTGGTAATTATCCTGGTGAATTTTTTTAAATTTCATTTTTAACATGCGTCTTTCTGTAACTGGACCAGTATGTTCCAATTGTTCAGACTGTTTCTTTATCCTTTTATGCAAATATAAAGAAAACTTAGCTCTTTCACAGAGAACGACCTTGAAAACATTGCCTTTATATCTGTTTACAGTTCGCATAACACTTGTCACTTCAAGAGTATCTACTGCAGGGTGATTGAGAACAACAACAGGTTGGTTGATAGAAGGAAGCTTAATTAACTGATCATTTCTTAGTGGAGTAAGACAAAGACTGGCATTTGCTTTGGGTTCAACTGTGGAATATTTGCAAATTTTTACTTTGGAAGCCATTCTACATTTTTTGTTTTTGGGCTTCCGGGATTTCCATTGAGGAAGTTGTGATGAATTGAGCTGTGAGTGTACTTTTAGATTTTCTTCCAAGATTTCATTCTCTGCTTCCGACCTTTTCCGTTTTAGTGTAAGATTGGAAAGTTTCCTTTGGGGTAAAGAAGTTTCAGGACATGTCTTTTTTTCTTCCAAACTGGTAAATGGAACTGGTCTAGGAATCAAAGTTTCAAGACAGTCTTCATAGTCCTGGCTGGTATTCAATGTAACTTTTGACTGTAAAGACTGATTTGGATTTAAAATTCTTAGTACAGCACCTTGTGGAATAAACACTGGTGGTGAATCTTCAATTTCTCTACCCTTTCTCCATCTTGTTGTTTGCATTTGATTTTTGCTACCATCTTGATTATGGGCAGGATTTGTGTTTATTTCTCTCAAAGAAGCCCCTGTCTTTGAAGATGTAGACAAATGTGACACCACTGATTGATTGGCTTGAGGGTCATCATCATGCTGCTTTGAGTTAATTTCTGGTTGCACAGGAATTGTCTCATCCACTCGAATTGCTTTAAGAGCTGTGCCTTCATGACTAGGCATAGCATTATCCAAATCTTCATAAATACCCTCAACGTTTGACTTATGTTTTGGAACACTGGGGGAATACAGGCAATTCTCTATATTCTCTTCCATTTCAATACTGGAAGAGTGTATATCTTCTACAGATTCAGTTTGATGATGCAATACCTCTTGTCTTTGACTGTTTTTGTTATTGGAAATCATCATTTTGGGTGAATTTGAGGAGATTGTAAGAGTAGGTGTTTCAACAGCTTCTTTATCTTCAAATGCAATGCACTTTTTAGACATTTCTCTGGAATCTGGATCCTTTATAGTGCTCTTAATTTCTTGAACAGGTTGAGAATTATCTGGGAGGTTTTGTTTCTTGCCACATGTAGTGGACTCTAAACATTCACAATTGGATGCGAAATAAACCGCACAATCATATGTAGGAGTACCTTCATTTGTATTTTTACCATTTGTAATTTGTGCATTGCAGGTCATTGTTTGTGGTTTTTCTGTGATTTCTAACTGTGAATCTGGTAAACTTGCCAAGTCATTTAAAAAAATGTCTTTATGTGTTATGGATTTTGTAAATTCACTGTTGTTCACATCATGGTCTGCTTTGTTGTCATTGTTCCTAATTTTCTTCTGAGAAAGTTTATCCAGTACATCTGGTATATATTTTTTCACTTCATCATGCTTCTCAGAGATTTTCAAATAATTTTTGCATCTATTGCCACAAACACCATTCAGATTTTGACCCCACCTAACACAGTCTGGAAAATCTTCAGTGCCACAACAAAGAGAAAATACTGATGAAATTACAGGCCCCTCTTTATTTTCTAATATTTCATCATTAGATTCAGTCTCTGCATTTTTCTCAGTGTTATTCCTACCAAAAGGCCTAAAATCTAAATGTTCTTTACTTCCTCCTAACACAGATTCGGCTGCACAAGGAATATCTACTGAATTTTCAAAGTTTCTTTGATCTGTTGACAAAAAGGAGTCGGGATCTTCAGACATCCCCTGATTAGGAATGTTTTGAACATTAGGCAAGACTGACAGCTCTGCAGATTCAGAGCTTTTCTTGTCTTTAAATGTATTTGCAACAGCCTTTTGTGGGAATCTTGCTTTAGGCTTTTTGCTTGTTGTTAATGTTTTGGTATTTTCACACTTTGGAAGGAAATTACATGGGAACATTGATGTAACTATCTGTTGTGATCCATCTGCTTCACTGTAGCTACCAACACGGTTTGCCTGGTCCTCTTTTTTGTGGTTTACGTCACTTTCTGAAACATGTTGGGAAATAAATTTCAGCTCAAGCTCCTTTGAGCCATTTACTCTATGTACTTCTACAAGTTCAACAAAACAATTAGGGGGTATAATTAAATCTGGAGGAGCAGCAACCATCAAGGGAATATCAGGATCTATAGGGTCATTAAGTGGAGCTATGAGTTCCACCTGAACATTGGACGGAACACTACGTTTTGGCGTAGAAGACTGTTCTGTAGGGGCACTGTTGACCATTTTGTTGAGAACTCCATCTGTTAAAAAGCCTTTGTTACTAGCAGTAACATTCACAGGTGTTTCACAGGTGTTCACGGTGGAAGGTAGGGCATTTTTTGTAGTTATATTTTGCTGTGCAAAACGTTTAGATTCCACCACTGACCATTTAATAGGCAGTGCATCTCTAATGATCTTTGAATCATTAGGTGGTCCTTTTCTTTTAACAGTCCCATGAACTCTTTGAGTGTGCTTTACAATATAGTCATTCCTAACTGCACCATAGTCACAGAATGAGCATTTATAAGGAAATGTCCCTGTATGCTCTACAAGATGGCGCTGGGATTCACCTTTTGTGTAAGAAATGTGACTGCAGTAAGAACAAGCAAACTTAATTTCTTCATGCTGTAATACATGTTTCTTAAACTGTGTGTGGTCTTTAGATGTATACCGGCATTTGTCACAATGATATTTATCCAGCTTTGTATGTTTTGTTCCAAGGACTTCCTGGAAGTTTTTTTTGGAGATTTTTTCTTCTGGGTTTTCCATATTTGAAAATAACACATTTTGTTCACAAGTTGAATTCATTTTCCATTACTCAGAATACTTCAAAGTACGTTTTTGCCAAACCCATGGCTATACCTTTATGCTCTTTTCTTAAGTTGCTCCTCCATTTATGCAATGTTTGAAACTTTGGACAAAACTTTCATCAGCTGATACACCAGCCTGAATGAGAAAAGAAATTGAAACATTTTTTAGCTGTACCTGTAATTACTTTTTCGTGCAGATTATGCCACTAATAAAACTGACTTTTTTAAATTTGTGGACATTCTCAATGCCCTACTGTTGCTGGTTAACAATCTCAGAATAAAGAGTTACTAACCCAAATCGGGGCAGAAATATTGAAGAAATGAAATGCATCGCAGTACCATTGTGTTATAAAACAGCACACTTAAGTGCTATATCAATATGAAAACTATAAAAACAGACAGTGATCACACATTTTAATGTTGAACAGCTATGTAAATGCCATTGCACCTAAAAGGGAAGTAGAACTAGTATGCTGGAACAAATCAAAACCTTGGAAATCATAAGATGGATTAGCAGTGGGGTTCAGCTATGTTTTGCATTGTTTTACCATCTAGAAGCTCCATCTTAAATAACAGAAAGGGTGCAGTAGTAAAATCTGAGGTAACTTAATTTTCTGACTTAAAAAAAAACCTGCTACATTGTTGAAAAGAAGTGATAACATGTTTCTCAAATGGATGTTTATGCCTCAATTCAGTGCTCTATTCAATGTGCTCTCTGAAAAATATTACTAATAGTTATCTTCTGCCATTCCAGATCTTTCAATTCACTCCTATCTTAATTTATGCTTTTGTTTATATGGCACATTGCCTGACTTTGACCATCTTCTTTCAAACCACTGCACATTAAAACATTGGGAAAAACATGTTTAGGGTAAATATCACTTTCCCATTTGATGCAGTAATAAATTACTAGAGAAGTTTATTCAAAGTTTGTTAAGGTTATAGCACAGAAAGTTTGGATTTGTAATGATCTTCCCACGGCAAAAGATTCTGAAAAAAATGCATTTACTTTGTTATATCTTTCAGCTGCATTTTCAGTCTTGAATTCATCCTTATGACTTAGTTTTGCATTTGTGTTCCTACCTTTTCAATAGGCATCAATTTATTTCAAAGGGTGACTCATCTGGTTTCTAATCTTGATCCACTGTTGTTCAGTGCACATACCCTGTCGTTAGGAGACAGAAAACACAAACATGTTGCACATTTGTATGCTTATGTTACTAAAAATGCATGCATTACATTGATCATGCACAGTGTGTTAGTCATTCACACCTTTACTGGGCACTTAACCGACATACAGACATACCTACAAATTGGTTCACATTAAATTTGGAAAATAATACTCAAAATAAGCACTCACTGTTTATCACTCAAGTTTTGAATAAAATTATTAATTTAAAAAAACTGTATGAATTATTTGTAGTTCATCAAAAAAGGCATTTAGAAAAAACTGATACCATTGCAAGTCATTGTGGGTTTCAGTGTTCCTTTACATTGTCTCAATCATTTTAGTTGGATTTTTTAATGTCAAAGTCACTCCTCTCTAAGCTCCTCTATAAGCCATTTTGAATTTTATTTGTTATGGATCAGTAAATGCAGTATTTAAGCATTTACAGTAGATGACCCACACTGGGATAATCTGGAAGCAGGTCAAGATAAAATACAAGAATATCATCCAAGTGGTAATACACAATACAGTGTAATGAAATCATCTGAATAAAAATGTTCCAAGGGTTTACCCAACAAGAAGTGTGAGCAGGATAAGAATTTGGTCACTTTTTAACTAGAATCAGCTCTCTCAGCTCTGCCCCCCTTTGACCAAGATAAATAGGAGGAAGGTCATCATAGGGTACAGGGGGAGGGGAGGAATTCTCTCCTTCCTAAGGGTATAATGCAGCAGAGCACATGCAACAATGATGTCTCATCCCCTGTATGGGAACACCCTCAGAGGGTCATGTGCACATTATGTGACACCATGCATAAAACAACATTTGATAACAGGAAACAATGTGATGATGGAAACTAAACACCTAAGTGCAGATCCCACCCATTGTGGGCACACACATTTATAACTGCTTTTGATGTAATCAAGATTCATAACTGTAGGATATAATTTTATTTTGTTTTTTTAATTAGCACACTGATGCTGTGAATTGACTTTCTGTTATCAAAATCAGCCTCACTTGGCCCTGTGAGGCCCTGTGGAGCACCTACTAAATTGGAAATACTGCATAAGATGTTTAGATCATAGTATATAGATTCAGCAAACAAAAGCCCCATGTACAGCGGATAGAATTACACATGAAAATTTTACCAGCTATTTCATGAAACCCCTGTTTGATTTATATTTGCTATTGTCCATCCAGGAAATGTAATGAATGCTTTCAAAAACTGTTGTAGTGCAAACAACCTTTCCTTATTGCAGAACACACTGTTGCTTTACTGAATCACTCGGAGCTGAGCAACCACGCACAGGATCAACAATGTATGCACTAAATAGATTGTGAATTTAAAGCATACATATCACTCCACAAAGCTCTAATGTCAACTGGATCCCTGAAAAATACATAATTTTTAGCAGGATACTGAGTGGTCTTTGGGTCAAGCTCATAACCACAAAGTCAGATGAATTTCAAAGTCAGATGAACATGCAAGAAGCAAATTAAGAAAAGAGGATAGGTTGCTATATTTACTTAACCAGATATAATGCAATCTTGCTTTGAGAAACCAACAATCCAGACCTTTGTAAACATAATTACTGAAGTAACCTTGTTAACTGAGTCATCACGCCCCAATCACACAATTTACTGTTTACAAAGACTGTAAATCTCTGGCCATCACAAAACTGCCCTTTTTAATCCCTTGTACCATCAACAAATCCTATTGCAAATAGAAACATGGCATGTTTTGTACTCAACTATACACTGATTTCCTCTTGCTCTCCCTCACACCTGAAGAAGGCTCAAGAGGTTAAAATGTTGTGTTGTGTTTTACTACGTTTCAGTGTGGAATTATCCTTTGCTGTATGGTTTCCATTGTAAAAAAGCTGATAGCTTTCCATTCATGTATTCCGCAGTATATCTTTTGCATGAAACTTTGAATCTAAACTTTGTTTGGCCCCGTTGCCAAGTTGCATGATGAGATATCAAACAGGTCTTTTTATAAAAATTCTGTGGAGGCATGTTTCATTCATCTATGTAGGCCAGTTTCACGGAGAACGGTGTTAATTCTGTCAATTTAATTTATGACGACAATGTTTGTCAACAATGTCAATGATGACAAGATGCTCATGAAAATCTACAATGATGAAGACTAAATGTCTTTGCACTTTTTAGTAAATTAAGATGATGACACCCATTTGACAACACCTCGGATGAAAATGAATTTCAAACTGTATATTGCAACATGTTAATCACTAAACATTAAAAAGTCGGTATATTTTATAAAAGCAAGATTGCTCAGTTGGACAAAAGTACGCAACCTTCCACCTTCATCATAAATAATTGAATTATTCATACATGTTTTACACATCAAGTCTTTAACTTGGTAACTTAGAGGGTTCTGGTTTTAACGTGCTTGTTCTAACATTATTAAGCTTATATTGTGTACTTCATTAAAAGTTATAATGTTTTATCCTTTTCGAAGAATGTTTAGTAAGAACACCACTTGCTGTTATTGTAAAAAGATAAATGTTGTAGTGATTTAACATCACCTGATAGTTATATGATTATGGAATCGTGTAACTAAGCAGCTAAAATATCACAGGCGGACATTTCAGAAACATTTTGACATTTTTTAAAACTTTTATTGTCCTTGTAGTGGTAATGGACAAAGCACTGCACCCAATGGTTCAAAGGGCGATCAGAGTAATACTTTTGTTTTGTTTCTTATATAGTGAATACATAAAAGTAGTCCACTATTATAGCTTGTTGTTGGCTCTGGCACGGATTTGTGTATCTGGATAAATTAAGTGATGATATTGTGATTAAGATTTTCTTCGCGGAATTCTTTAAGTTAAACAAAGGAGGGAAGAAGGATTATTTTTACAATTGGCACTCCAAGATTCTGACTGATTTAATTCCCCTCATTTAGCTGAAACGGATAAAGAAATCATGCAGTAATTATATGTATTGGAAGGCGCTCCGTTTTATTAACAGAAACTCCGACTCAGTCATGTGTTGTACAGTGTTATAGAAGTGGGTAACGTCATCACCATTAAACAATGTGCTTATCGCGCAAATTCTGCTAAACTAAAAATTAGACACAAGAAGAGTATTATTGGACAATGTTGTGAGGCTCTGGCGGAATTTCTCTCTAAACTGAAGAGTTATAGAGCAGGCACGTTGTGTATCACCTCTTTTTACACTTGTAAGAACATTCCAATGTAAATGTGAGATGGAAGATATTATTAACCTTTTAAATCTGAAGCTGTAAACATTACATCACACCTGCATGTCAAGATCACGGTTTCAAAATAAAAAAAACATCAAACCTTTGAATGGACGAGAACGTCATGATTGTTTCGCAAGGATGTGAAACGTGACAATTTGTTACAGTTACCAACAGGAGAAAAAAAAGTATTTATTAATTTATTTGTGACAGCTGCAGTGGCTTGCAATGGCTGGATAGTTAACACTTCTCAATTGCTTTGCCAGTCTGTCCATGGGGGGAAGGGGGACTCATACGCTGGCCAAACGTTTAAGGTCAAATTCTTCCACGAGGGGGTACCTTTAAAGTGGAGATGACGGCACCGAACATTTTTGGCGTGCCCTCATTTTAAAGCCCAGGCCAAATATAAAGATAGTACATATAGTTATAATTCAAACTGAATTGAAAACTACACATCCCAGTTAACATGGTGGTGCTCATGATCCTTGTGTTTAACCAACAAAACAGGGCAAAAAATCAGTCACATGACTTTGGGGCGGAGTTTTGAAAGCTTAAATTATCAACAACAAAGCAAAGTTTACATTATAGGCTACCTTAAACAGTCAGTTAAATGACTGTGTATGTCGCTTAAGCCACTTCTATTTGGCTTTTAATTATGTAGGCGGGAAGACACCTCCAACCCCTTCCCTCTGGGTGCCTGACTTGTTACTATCTTTAACCGTTCCTTGACTGAATCGCAGTATGGAGAGACACGTACGAAAAAAAGTTAAAGGGTTAGCAAAACATCAGTATTTACCGCTAGTAATCAGTGTAAATTGAAATCTGAGTCTAAATATATAGTTAAAACATCAACAAACAAAGCAATGTAGGAAATGCACACATTTTCTGCAACAGAAATACACATAGAAAATAAATCCTTTCTGACATCTCAAATCAGTTTCAATCAAGGTCTCCAAAATGAACAGGAAAAAGAACATTTTCAGAGAGCAATTGCATTGTGTTTATGAAGAATAAGTTATTAGATTTATGAGCAATCTAATTTCTTATTCGCTTAAACAGTGACATTTCAACTGCAAAAGATTGCACCAGAGACATCATTATCTCTGCTTGTCATAGACGTTCAGGAAAGTGTGAATGAAAGAAGTCATGTCAAGTGCAATAATTCGGTGATCAATAATAACAGTTGTAGGACAAGAAATAAAAGATAGAGAAAACTTTTTTAGCTTTTTAAGGCTCATACTAAAATCCAGTCTACAAATTAAGGAAAATGGAAATTTAGGACGTTAAAATGCTAGAAGTGTAAATAAATATTAAAATACAAAAATACACATAAGCAAAACGTTTAAGAAATAAAGCAGGTGTTACTTTGAAATAAGCAAACAGAAAAAGAGCCATGACTAGACAGTGCATAAGAGGGATGCAGGAACACTTGCAAAAGCTTAGATGTACAAAAGAAATCACAGAAAGGTGTGTGTTACAAAAGAACATGCAAACATGAAATAAATATGGCAGAGAGTGACGGGCTGGAATAATCAGGTGCATTTCTGGCAGGGAGAGTATGAAGGTTTGATGAGATAGAGTCAGAATATTAGCACACATAAAAAACAGCAATTCTGTCAGAGAGCCTTATATGAAATAATAAATA